AAAGAGAGAGAGAGAGAGAGAGAGAGAGAGAGAGAGAGAGAGAGAGAGAGAGAGAGAGAGAGAGAGAGAGAGAGAGAGAGAGAGAGAGAGAGAGAGCCACAGAGTATCAGCGAGCGTTGCTGTGCGCCGGGGTCCACTTGTTTAATAAAAGAGAAAAAACTTCAAAAAAGCCTCGCGCCTTAGCTCCAAGTATGAGGGCAACAAAATAGAATTCTCGAAGGGGCTATGATAGTGGCCAAACCACAGGTACTCGTACAATTTTTGGAGTGACAACAGCAGAAGGATTGAGTACACAGCAGCACGGCATTACACTGGGTCTCGCCATCAGCAATTCAGGCCCCTCTGGCAAGGGACACAGGGAGAGTACGGGACAGAGTGGGCTCCAAGGGTGCAATCATAACAGGGGGCGCAAGGAACAGGGGCATAGAATAAGACATGAGGACACACCATGGACAGTGCCCACGGTTACCGGTAGTTGTCTTTCTGGCTCTCGAACTCTGGTGATGGACAATGACAGACGCTGGACCCAGTTCCCATCAGGTGCAGCTCCCCACCAATAGACGGAGTCTTCTGCCGGTGGGCTACTAGGGGAGGGGGCTCCTATCACATTCCCAAGTGTTGCCCCTATCGGAAGTTCTACCAAAAAAAAAAAAGGGAAGATTTTTAAAATAGCGCTGTATAACATTTGTACGAGCAGGCGCTTAATTAGGTAGGTGTTACCTTGATTCAAATTGATCCTGTTGGATGGTAGGAGACAAAGATGGGTATAAGACTATAAGTGCAGAGAACTTGTTTGAGCTTCACGAGGGCTGTGGCTGGGGATTGGTTTGGCCAAGAGTGCCTCACCTTGCCCCGTATTGTCGCAGTAAATATGTAAGGAACACCGGACCCGTTTTCCGGCTTTCAATGAAATTACTTTTGAAAAAAAAAAAAAAAAAGGATCGAGTACACAGTACTACACACCTTTGGGAGATAGTTCTTCAGCTGAGCAATTAGGGCATTTGCCTGCCGTAGTTCAAGAGAATGAATACGATCCTGGGACAAAAGAAGCAGAACAAAAAATAAATAAAATGATGCCATGCTTTTGCAGGACAAAACAAAACAAATAAACAAAAGCGTTGATGTCGAACAGCCAAAAAAAAAAAAAAAAAAAAAAAAAAGTTCAAAAAACACTGATGGCAATTTGATGCCATGATTTTGCAATGAACATCCAGCTGAACAGATCAGAATTAAAAAAAAAAAAAAAGAATGCCACACTTTTGCATTGAACCTTCAACTGAACAGATCAGAATTATATAAAATTAAAAAAAATGCCACACTTTTGCATTGAACCTCCAACTGTCACTCACAAAGTGCTCATACACGAATTGCTAGCGCACCACAAAAGCAATGTTTGGATTTATTCACCCTGCTACGTAATCCATCGTTTTTTTTCCTTTTCTTAAAAGGGCAACGGCCTTGAGATATTTTCTTCAAACTGACCAGCCCTGGGCAGGGTTGCATACCTCCGACCGCTGACCCCGACCGCCGACCATTGTGCAGCCGCCCAATAGGGCGGACCGGTCAGCAGTCTGCCGACCAGTCAGAAAACAGCCATCCACTGATTTTTTCCCAAGTCTGAGTTTGGGGCTGTACTGCACTTGCTGAGTACAGCCCAAATCCGCTGAAAAACTTTTGGGGATGGGGGGAGGGTATTGGGGGTTGGGGTGGGGTATAGGGGGATATAGGGGTGGTATAGGGGGTATAAGGAGGGGGGTGTGAGGGTGTTGGGGAGCGATTTGGGGGTGTTGCGGGGGTGTATGGGGGTATTGGGGGCAGGTATGGGGGTGTTGGTTGGGTTATTGGGGGTTCCGGGTCCAAAAAAAAAAATTAAAAAATAAAAAATTAAAAAAACTTTTTTTTTGTTTGGTGGGGTGCCGCCGACCCCCGACCAGTAGGTGCCGACCAGCCGACCGATCGGGCTGGTCGGCCGCCGACCAGTCAAGGGGGCGTCAACCATCGGGGTTTGCAACACTGGCCCCAGCTCAATTCAGAGTTATTTTACTCATCTGACTCAGATCTGAGTCCATTGGGATCCGAACCGAGGTCTGTATTAGACAGTTCATGGGTGTACTGCGCTAGGCCCGGTGGTACGTAAAGCATCCTAATTTCATACATTCTTCCGTTGTTCGGTGTGTAGTACTGTGTGCATTGAATTGTACCTATAAAAAAAAAGGCTATAATCGTTAAGCTGACTTGCCGGGGGAAAAGGAACAGGACTGATGCTCGGCAGAATAGGCAAGGACACAGGGCCATAAGGACTTGTTTATCATTATAAAAGAAAAGATTTGATGAGCTTCATCGTTCGCCTTTCACACGTGTAAGGTCTGTACTTTTGATTTGACTACATTGCAGCGACTACACTACTCTAGTGATTTATCCAATATACCTTTCATTAATCTTTCTTCAGTCACTTCCTTTTTTCTTTTTTTTAATTGAAATAACAGGTCCTTATGGCCCTGGCTCCATAATCCATTCTGGGGAGGGTCAGTCTGGATCCCATTCCCCCAGCAAGTCAAAATGGTAAGATACATCAATCACACACACAGACACAAACATCCTTCACTTCTTTTGATTTTTACGGGCAAATTTTACCCAAAAAATATAACCCTTGTTGTTGTTCTGTTCTATTATTGTGGAGCTCCATAGCCAACTTATTGAAAGTGGCATAGTATGTTGTGACAAGCGAGCGAATCCGTGTCATATGAAGGATAAAGCAGAAGCCCGCCAATTCTCTCCCACCTCCCGCATGTTCTTCTACCTTCTGATACTGCCATCCTTGTTTGCCCGATTGCAACTGCATGACGGCATACGGATTCGAACTGGCACCCTTGGCCTCAAGAGCCAAGCATCGTAACCAACTGCAGCCATGACACGGCATTCAAAAGTGGAACCATACCGGTCGTGATATCCACCCCACCCCTGCATTACTATATCGAACTCGGTTTGAGCTCAAACCTGTCTGTCAATAGTGATGTATGTTTTAACAGCTGTTTGCGACTCAATAGTGATGTATGTTTCATAGATTCAGGCTGATTCAGCTGTAAAGCAGGTCTGCTAGCACCAGCCGATGAATGCACATACTTCCCCAGATAAACCAGAGGGATTCTGTATAGCGCTAATCTCGGAATCTCGGTTGGCAATGAGCATGAAGCAAATGACTTACATCGCGATGGTCATGTCCAAAAAGATTGTTGTCTAAAATTATAAACTCTGCTCATCTCCTCTCAGCCTGCAATAGTGGTCTGCCTGGAGTGTGCTAGAACCTGGAATAGGGTAAAAGAGAAAGCATAGGGGATAAGGGACTTGATCCATTGTATGTGTGTATGTGGCAGTCCATCCTTCCTCATCGAAGAAGTCAATGCTGTTGGGGGTTCTTCTGACGTCATCCCCCGAACATAACGCACCCTGATAATGAATGTATACGAGCTATATCTCCGGTCAGGTACAGCCCAAATGAGGGTGCGTTGTGTTCAGGGGAAGACGTCAGGGGAAGGAAGTATGAGTTGGCATCATTGAAATGTTGACGTGCCGGTGGACTACGAACTGCAGAATAGATAGAATGGTGAAAACACCAGGACAAGAAAGAATACAAAGAAAAGTAAGCAAACTCTACTCATCTCCACACACTGACCTTCACATTGGCAATTGCCTTCTTCAATTTGTCATCATTCCGCGCAGCTTTAATTGCCGCAATCCTGCTCGTTTCTCTGATTTTTTGCTCTTCAGCAACACCTCCCTTATGCGTCGCTTGTGCACTCTCCTGCTCAATGGCTTCCTCATTCGGTGCTTCTCCCTCATCCACATTCTCTGTGACTTCAGGTGCATTGGCATTCATTATACCATCATCACAAGTCCTTGAGAGAGTGCAACCCTTGTTGCTATCTCTGTCTCCGTCAACTCCTCTTTTCCTGGTGTTGCTCGCACTCAGGTCTTTCTGTTGAGCTTTAGCAACCTGATCTTGCAGAGTGGCAACAAGGGATCGATATTGCTGAATCGTGCGTTCCTGATCATCGTTCCTGCAGCAACCAAGCACATCTGACAAGATCAAATCCCAACCCTTGAACCCTACAGAAATATGACGAGGACAGAAGTCCAGATTCTTCGGGTCAACCTTGCAGGGATAGAAAAAGAGTCGCTCCTCACACCCGAATGCTTTTCTTAATTGCAGTGAGGCCCGCATTTCGAAACAGCATCTCAAGTTCACACCAGGAACACACCTCAACACACAAGAGTTCGAAACCAAAGCACACGATGTGAGAACTGAAAATTGCTCGGAAATCAAAATGTTATACACAAGTGTGTATGCAGTGCTATGCACACAGCTGAGCGGCAATGGCCACCAGCACACAACAACCAAGGCTGAACTCTCTCTCTCTCTCTCTCTCTCTCTCTCTCTCTCTCTCTCTCTCTCTCTCTCTCTCTCTCTCTCTCTCTCTCCTCAGGCCTCGCTCTCGCTGAATGTCTTCTCTGTGCTAGTCTATGCGATGCCTCATCTATGTCGCCCAGCACCCCCAACACCGGTTAACTACAACTAGACCCAGTCTTACTTGCTGCATCACTCATGTGCTGTGCTTTTGTATCCAACATTCAGCTTCCCTTCCCTTGGACTATTCGGACCGGTATACCCCAGTAGCCTGCTGGCCATGGACCCCAGCCTTTGAAGTGCCCGAATGTTAACTCCCTGACTTGCTAAAGACTGCACGGGACTGGCCTGGCCTTAGCCTACCCTAGCCTACTGGACCCTACCGGATTCGACTGGCTGGGTCTCCTCCTTTTTTTTTATCCTTTCTTTTTCAAACCAAAACAGGTCCTTATGGGGGGGAGGAGCTCGAGTGAGTATTCACTGTAATCCTTTACGACTTGCCGGTGGAATAGGAACCGGACTGCTGCTCCCCAGAATGGATAAGGAGCCGGAACCTTAAGGTTCCGTTTTACAA